TTTTATATACGATTATTTTAAAGTGGAAAGATTTGTATTTTAGGATTCTTGGAAAACTTGTAATACTTGTAATTCAATCGCTACTGGTCCGATTTCAAAAATTCTTTCACTGTTGTTGTTCAAAAATTTATTTCAGTTCATTGTTCAAATAGCTACGTTTTCTAACATAGGCTATATTTTTAAATTCCACGTAGATAAAATCGCAAATAACAGCTAGTTTTAAATGAAGATAGAATTCTGCGAAAACTACCTCAAGGATAGACCCATCTTACTTCTTTAGTTGTAAAAAAAACTACCTTTTTACCGAAATTGTTATTGTACGGAAAAAGAAATTGCAATTGTATTTACACAGTCTATACAATTTATTGTATTTGCATAATAAATAAAATAAACAAGCGTCAATGCGCTCGAGGCGAGTGTGCCGACGTCCTACTTTTTTGATGTGCTTACGAAAAAGAGGCGAGAGTAATCACTTCATTTATAACCATTACGTCGCTGCTTTGCGTAATTTATTCAGTAAATTGCCAATTTTGAGGCAACTCTTGACGAATTTCAAAACAGTTCTCGGCACGAAAGCTTTTTGAGAGTTTTTATCGTATATACAACAAGCAAGCTTAAACATTTTGATCTATAGAAGATTAAATCCTCGATAAGGAAAAGGGAAAACGGGTTAGATAAATACAAAACGGTTATTATCCTTGAGGGAAAGATACGCAGTAGCCCTTTGTTTGTTTTTTATCTTTTTTTCTCAAATATGTAACAAAATAGCTAAAGAACATAGCTCTTCTTTGAATTCCTGTTTTTGTAATTCTTTGTTTGATACATTCTTGTTAATACCAAACGTTTTACATAGTTAATTTTTTTTTTAATATGATCAAGAATTATTGAATCTGTTTTTTAAAAGACGATATTTTGATTGCCCATATAAAAAGTAATAGAATAATAGTTCGGTGTAAAATAAACACCACATTTAAGAACCTGGTAGATAGATAAATGAAGTATTTGTTGACCTAGGTCAGGTAAAATTACATATACGGAAACATTAAGATGTGAGAGTCCTAATAATTCTCTAAACGTATTCTAATAGTAAGTTTAATATTGAAACTTCAAATTCTCAAAGCAAGTCAAAGTTGAGAAGCTTTTGTTACTTAGTAAAGTTTGGGCGGATTCAGTGGCGTTTCTGTAAGAGCTCGATAAACTTGAAACGTATCTTTTACATTATTAAAGACGCTTTCAACGTTTGTCTTATCTTGTAAATTTATCTTGGGATATCAAGCGGAAGTATTGATATCTCATTAATAAAACTTTTCCTCTTAAAAGTTAAATATAATTTAAATTAATATTTAGAATTAAGATCTTGTGTTAATTCAGCATTTAAAATGTCTACGTGTTTTAAAAAATTTTAAAAACACGTGCATATCCGTTATGATTACTCATCTCATAAATATAATTCCAAGCACTTGCATTAAGAAACATCCCAATTTGTCCCAACATCGTTGTCTTTTAACATACTTCTTTACAAGAACAATAATTTTATTTATAAATATTGTAAGACGCAATTTAATATTACATTCTGAACAATTTACGGTAAACAATTAACTTTTATGTAAAACTAACTGTTACCCGCGACTTCGTCCAAGCAATATAAAGATAAAAAAGTAGCCTATAATACGGGCATATTATCATATCGTGCTGTCAGCCTTCACTGCAAGTATAGTCGAAATCGGTCCAGCCATTTCAGAGATTACCCGGAACAAACGTAACTTGCAGCCAGACATACAGACACACAGACAAAAAAAAATCGATTTTGGTTATAAGCAACGCAAATACATCATCTTTCCAAAATCTGGAATTTTTATTTTGATTACAAACAGACATTCCAATTTTATTGTAAGTATAGATTGGCATCTGTGCAAATAACTTACGTCAGGTGTTAATAAACCGATGAGGTAGGGCGTGATTATTCCAGATATCGTCGATGTGCCATTGATCATTGCTGTTAAAGAGCCCGCGTAATTTGGCGCCAAATCAAGTGCGTTAACCTGAAATTTTAACACATTATAAAAAATAATAAACAAAAATATATAAAAGTAACGTTCGTATATCAAAGTTCAAATCATCTAAATACGAAAGAAAAAATATAACCTTTTAAATCAAATTCACACATTTTAAACTACTACTTCGTATATAAATATGAATTTGGAATCATGGAAATATTTGTCACGTGTCAATCTGCGGAACAAAATAGCGCGTTATTAATTTGTTCCGCAGACCACGTGATTAATAACGATTGGAAACCATTTTAGATAACCAAATAATCAGAAATCATAAATCTATCCTAGTTTAATTATGAAAATAATTAATGACCACCAAAAACCATTATTCCCTGCGATCAATTTGATGTCACCTATTTACATATTTTTAATTTCAAAATTCATAGAAAATCCAAACAAAATACATTAACAATATAAACCATATAAAATCCATTACCGAACATCGTTATTACTCGACTTAACACGTTTGCAAATTACTAAGGTAATATAAATGAGAGTTAATTTATTCAGGCCATATAAGTATTCATAAAGGTCGAGCTTACCTTCATTCCACTGTAGAATCCTCCCATAAGGGCCATGGAGGCAATAAAATAAGCCACAGCTTTGAAACGATCGCAGCCGGAGTATGATGCGAGGATGATGCATATAGCGGGACCCGTAGCAGCTAAACATTAAATTTTATTGCTTAAATGTGGAAATTTTTATGGCATGTAACATGGAAATTTTAGCAATATAATCTCGTATATAGACGTTATAGATCTCTAGTAAGTCAAAGAGGTAGGTATAGAGGTATGATAAATTGCGGTATAGATGACATAATTAAGAATGTGATTGGTGAATACCTGGGGTTACTGAATCGATTAAGAAGAGAAAAGCCTAATTTGCATCTCCTATAAGTTATTAAAGACTGTTAACTAAATGTATATTTATAATATAGGGATATTATTTCGTTTGTTTAACTTTGATTTTAATTTTCTTGTACACAAGATTGCACGATTTGCTGAACGAGTTAAGAATAAAGTTACAAGAACAAACCTATAGTTGTATGGATTATCCTTCCAGTTTTAATGGAATGCCATCCTTTTTTGACGCAGCCGTCGCATACCCAGCCAAATATAAAGGAGCTTATCCACATGGCGAGGTAAGGGATAGAAGTGAGGGTGCCCGTCGTAGCGATGTTGAATTTAAGCACATCAGTCATGTATTTTGGAAGGTCTGTTACCATTGTGTAATAACCCCAGTCGTGGCCTACCTGTAAAATAAAGTTACAAGCAATTTTATATTCCTTTTTCCACAGATTTATAAAAAAAAGTACTTAGAGGTACTCTACTCGAATAGTCTATTAATGAGTATGGAAATTGATCTACTCTACTTTCAAATTTAAATTCAAATCCACTATCTCTTACCTTGAGGTGCTAGCAAAGAAAGCTTAAAATACAAGCCCTATTTATTTCTATTCGGCATCTTTATGAGGTGAATGATGTGTGTATGGCAATGGCTGTGTGTAGTTGTGAAAATTCAATTTATTTTACAAAAAAAAACTTACTGCAGCAAACAAAAGAGCCCACACGGGAACTGATCTAACAATAGCCTTCCAAGGGACAGGGTCGCGCACGCTTTTATTATCAGCACTTGTGACGTGCTCGTTTAAATATTTAAGCTCTTCATCTGATATGTAGGGATGAGTGTTCGGCGTACTGTAGCAAAGTAGACTCTGAAATAAATAAAAGATAAAATTGTATCACATGCTCATAGGACTTATACTCTAGAGAAATCAATAGTGAATTTGACTTAATATGGAATCGAAAAATCCACCAAATATTCAAACCAGATTCTCATACTTTTTAAAATTATGTAACTTTAGTGTAGTCGTTACAAGTTTTGCCTGCATCCAAAACTTGTTCCGCTGCACTACGAGAAACTAATATAAATCTAGTTTGTATTTACTCTAGAAACAAAAACGAAACTAGTTCCAAAAAGGATTTGTATATAAATGTCAAATGAACTGCTTTTAAATTATATTCGAAATTAAAGGAACACTTTTTTTATTAGGTGTATACGAGGAAAATATGAACGGAAAAATCTTTGTCTATTGGTGTGTGACTGAACTAGCCTAAGTAAATAACAACGGGTCAGCGAACACTCAACAAAGGAGTTGATAGACTCACCATTCGTAGGCTTTATAGCTAAAGGAAAATAATCGTCTAGCCTATGACAACCTCCATAAGATCAGTCTTATTGAGATCACCAATAAAATTGTTGACGGTTTTAATCTTCAGTTTAAGTCTTAAGTTATCTAAATATACACTTACCCAGAATATAAACCATAAAATGCCAAAACAGCCAAAGAAATAGAACACATTAGCCCAATCGCCATTGCCTGCCATCAGGAATCCAGACATGAATGACCCGAATATGTTCCCAATCTGTGCACCACCGAACACCAAGGCACCTTGCCGTGACCTCTCGTGTGGAGGCACCCAGCGCGCCAACACAATCATTAAGGCAGGCATCGTGGGACCCTGGAAAGTAAGAGAATAACTATAAACTCTGTATTACGTACAGTCGGTGAAACTGGCGATGGTCTAACTTAAAAGCAATCGTTTGAACATTTTAAATCGAGTCACGGCATAAACATGTATCTGTACGAAAAAAATCAGGTTTACGCGGGTACTTTTTTTTATTATTATCCCTTAGTTTGCACTACTCACTGTTATCTAATTAGTTTTTTTGTAGGAAGAGGGGGAGGTTGTCTCGTTGCAATGAACAAGGCAATTTTCCTGAATTAGCACACCGCGGATTGGCGCGACTATACATCAAAGCAAACTAGAAATTTAAAATTGATTTAATTGGTCATTCCTTAAAAGTTCTTTAGTTATCGGATCCTCATAATGTTTGCAGAAAGTTTTTCAACTGAATTTTGTTTGTGCTACAAATTCCCTTTGCCGGTTACTAGTTATTATTATCAAAATAAAACATGTTCAGTCTATATTTAGCATTCATAATAGTATTTTGTTTACCATAATAAATCTACGTGGTTAGTACACCTTATCCAGTGTCTATCGTATAAGGCGGTGAAATGTAGAATTCAACTGGGTGAAGGGTAACAACATTTTTTTGCGCTCAGACGTTTCTGCAGCCGGAATGGCTAAAGTTTAACGAATGCATAAAACAAGACCCCAAAATATTACGAAATTAATTTTTAAAGTCAATAAAGTAATTTAATATTATCTTGAAAATCTTCGAATTATTAATGTTTTCTATGTCCTATAAATTATTTATTAAATTAACCCTCACAGGTCATAATTCAATTAAAACCAGAAATATTTTGTTCCTTATCATAAGGCTATCATAGTTAGAAATGATCAATTTTCATTTTTCAATCTCATCATTCTGTTATAGTGTTGATAACCACAAATAACATATATTTGCGGTTTCCATCTCTATTATGTCTTTGTTACTTTGCTGTAGTGTTTGGAATTCTATTTAAAACAACGTGACGCTCGTCGTTCACGTTTCTGTGGTATTACTACGTACGTTAGTAATTACAACATTGACATAACAAAGGAACACATCCCTACTTACTATGTGCTTGATTGTAAACTTGATTATCAACAGAAGAATGCATTACCAAAGCATTTAGTGTAGTAGACTATACTATCCGCTTATTTATAAATATATGAGTCATTTATAGACTACTCGCTTTCTTCCGCAACTCTGTCCGCGCGGTATTAAAAAAAACAAATGTAAGTAGCATATGTGTTCTTCCAAACTATCCTCTACATCTATATCAAATTTCATCAAAATCCGTTCAGCCGTTTAGGCTACAAACTCTAGCAAACATCCAACTATCCATATAAACTTTCGCATTTATAATATAAAAAAAAATTAAGTAAGATGACTCATTTATAGACTATAAAAAATATTTAACTATTTAATTTTCAAACTGGATGTTAATAAATTAATTTAAGTCTCATTTGTTTTATCTTTTAAATATTTTGATAACATTTTCTGATTTGAATTTTATCATATCCACCCTTTGTTGGGTATCACAAAGGATTCTAAATTAAAGTAAATCCGGGGCTATTGAGCGACTTCGCTTTGAAAATGAAGATAAGCTTTGGATTAACAAAGTTTAGTTTAAAGAATAACTAGGATTACAGAGCCGGGGTCCACGGCTTTGTGGCCGCGGTTAAATGGTTTGCGGTGAAACGTTGCCTTAATTAATAGTTTAACTGAACTAAAGCTAATCTTTATTATAAGATTTAATTACTTTGTTTAACTTCCTTTAGGGTGTAATTTATACGATTTTACAACTTATTAATTATTAGTTTTACATGAATCTACCTACTAAGATACATTTCCAGGCTTATAAATATTGACTACATTTTAAAAATATAAAACTATATTTTTTTAACACCATGATCATGCAAATAGAATTATATAGACTTTAACATTGTGTAACACTAGTTGTAGTCCGCGACTCCTTTGGCGATGAGTTAAAAGGAAAACAAAAGTGAGTAGTCTATGTATTATTAGAGCCTATACTCTAAATCTATGCCTATCATCGCGATTTGTTCAGCCGTAAATGGGATAATGTCTAACAAATATCATAACATTAATAGCATACTATAATTATACATATATTATAATTTACACGTCAAACGTTTTGTGGTTTATAAGAATTATATCGAAGGAACTTACTTCGCCCATTCCTTGAAGCACCCGTAGTATGAACAGCCATGTCGCTCCTCCTGCTTTCACCACTACAGGAGTCATCAGCGTGAAGATAGCAGTACTTAGGAGCCCGATACCAAGGGTCCATTTCCCTCCGTATCTCTCAGCTAAGTAACCTCCCGGTACATGTGTTATAGCATATCCATAGTAGAAACCGCTTAGTATTAACCCTTGAGTTGATTCTGACCAGTCGAATATTGCGTACTGGAATGTGGGAAAAAGACAATATTATTATTTGTTTCGCCTATAACTGGAATTTTTTCTTTCCTTCCCAACATTTACTAGTAAGGTAAGGATGGAAAGGGTAGTTTGAATGTCATAGGGAGAGAATCTCCAATGTTATCTGTCTATAGGTCACATATACAGCATAAGCCGCTTAGACGTCATTTGTCGCCAGGAAGTCTCCTGGCTTTTTTATCAGTACTTGATATAAAACATAGATTTATCAGGATGTTTCGAAATTATACTTAATGTCTATATATTTCTATTTATATTGGAATAAAATCTGCTTTCCCTTCAGTTCAGCTTTGATATACTCTTTATGGACTATTTTTAGTTTTATTGGCAGATAATGTATTTTGATTCTTACCTCTTTTACACTGACAGTTCCGTTAACCAATATTTCGCTTTCATCAGGACAAGCATTTGGATCAAAATGTGACTCCTCGTTCTTGGTATTGTTGACCATTTGTGTGACGGCGAGGTTGAGGCAGACGCGCATCGTGTACGCATTGCACACCGCCAGCAGACCCATGATGCCGAGCACATACCGCTGGGGAATTATGAACACTGGTCGGAACAAAAAATAGAATTTAAAAAATGGACGTTGTAATGAAAAATGGGTTAATCGATAATTTTATTATGAACTCATAGTTATTAAATATACTATTAAATAATTTGTACACAGTACAAGATTAGTTTCTTGATTAAATAGTATACCTACATTTTGATATTATCAGTCGCCATCTTGGTAGCATTGCAACGTAAAATATGTACAACAAAGAAACCAATGTCAGTTGATTCCTGAAAAAAGAAATGTTTAATGGTAATTTACTTTTAAAAATATTATTATCTTAACACTTACATGGGTCACGATAGAAGATTTACATCAACATACAAATATTAAAATTGAAGACAGAATCTTTTTCTGCTGATAAATTTGTTTTATCGCGAAATTCTAAATTCACGGTCGAGGTACAAGTATGTTACTGATGTATCGAGATTAGCGATCACTCGTGATATTGCAGAGATGCCAACCATCAAAGAATCTCGTGTGTTCGCATCACGTTAATGTTATATCCAACTGTCGCAACAACTTTACAATACATACTGTTCTAAAATAAAATTCTAACACAAATGTAATAGTAGAATTATTTTTCTGCAAAAATTTTGACATTAAATTCCCGTTAATTCATCTATACTTCTGTACTATCATAAAAAAGCGTAAACACACACTTCTTTGTTGCCTAAGATCTCACCTAATTTCATGCGGATGAAACCGCACGCGAACATTTAGTATTTCATACAAGAGAAATGGGAGCATTAAAAACACAAATATAACAATCTAAACATTTTACTGCCGTCATTTACATCATTAGATCATCATCACAGTCATTTACTTTTACTGTCTGATTAAAATGTACCATATATAAGACTAATAAAGATAAAGATATTGTTTGATGAAATTTATATATTTATCGTGCTCTTAGACTCATAACAACAGATTATGAAACTGAATGCGATTCAAATGTCAATGAGTCTTCGATCAATACTGATATACTGTTATCAGACAGTTTAGTTAAGATAGGTTGTTGTTAAATAGATTTTATGTAAGATGGACGCATTTATATCTTACTAGCTTTCTTCCGCGACTTCGTCTGCATGGAATTAAAAAAACTAAGTAGCCTATGTGTTCTGTCAGATTTTACATCTATGCCAAATTTCATTGAGATCCGTTCAACCGTTTAGGCTACAAATTCTAACAAACATCCATCTAAATTTTCGCATTTTTAATATTAGTAAGATTTCTAAAACTCAGTACATAAGCGTTGTATTGCTTCTTTTGTTTATCGTGTTTCATGTTGCGTTTTTTATTTCATTAGTTAATGGAATATTTCGACTTTTCCGATCAAACTATTAGAACTGAGCGTATGTAGCTTGCTTTACAAGAAGTTATGAAACTGTACCTTTTGCCAATTTTGTGCTATTGCCATGGTTATGAGTACGGAAATTATTAACCTTCCGATTTGTACTTACTTTGTTCGCCTGTCTGACGAATTCATATTAAATGTTATTAATTGCCTAGTCTTTTATAATTATTTAATTCCAAGCACAATATTTCACCAGAAAAGGTGATTGCAACCTCTCATTTTAGATAACCTGCCTTAATTTATAACCTTGATAGAAATATGTTATTAAGGACCTGTCCCACCACTGCCTGATAGACTCAGATAGCTTAAAAATTACGTCACTGTCAGATAATGTAAATCCGATATTTCCATTACATACTTTACACGTCGGATTATTATAAGACAATTTACAATTTGGTTGGACAGGCCCTAAGTCAATTAGCGATTGCGATTTAGTAATCCATGCAAAATCTACCTTCAATAGAACTGTTATTTTATTTTTAAAATGTCAAATGATACAGTTTAATCAAATCTAACACCACAATCATGTGTCACGAAAGAACTAAATAAAATGTGTTTTAACCTCAATCTTTAGCCAATTCAACAAAAAATCTGATAAATCATCCCAAAAAAAATCAACTCCAATGGATTTTGGGCACTAAATATTGCGTGTTAGTATTATGCTAATACTTTTATACTCGAATGCTCATTACATAGAAAAACAATCACGAAACATAGTGAATGGGTGACTGCATTCCGACCTAAGTACCCGGATCAAATATTATACTAGCGTAAAGTAATAAATAATTATTTAATTTGTACAGGTAATTGTTAGGCGTATATTTTATATATAATAATATGTTGACATGTACGTATGTGTGTCTTTATTTACGTCAGTAAAGTTATGTCCTTTAACCTAATTTCTATTTTTTTTTGTTTCGATGACGTCGATTGTGATTTTTCCTTACGTTGAAAGTATCGATATCAAGGCATGGATAAGCCTTGTTTATTAATCTTAACTTGTGATTAATCATAGATTCCCACGAGTAACAACGCGTATTAATTGCCTTTAAGTCATAATGTTTTTAAGGCGACTTTTTTAAAATATCATGGTTATTATTATTCATGGTCTTTTATTATTATTTTAAAAGACATCCTCCATCATCCAGCGTCAATCAAAGTTAGTATTTATAAAAGCTAAAGTTTAGATGGATGGATGAATGTTTGTTAGAGTTTGTAATCTATAGAGTCTGTAAACAGATTTCGATAAAATTTTGTAAATATACAGAAGCTAGTCTGGAAGAACACATAGGCTACTCAGTTTTGTTCATGCCACGGAAACGGAGGCGCAGGCGAAAGCTAGTGAATATTACAACTGTGTCAATAGAAGTTTCTATGTATAAAGAATGACTAGATATATAAAAACTTGGAAACTCATTCAAATTTCAAAAAGATATAGAACACATTTATTTTCGCATATTACATTTTAGTGTAAGGTATTATTGCATTTTTAGTTTTTTTTTTTTCCAATAAGTTATACGACAAAAGTCGCCAGCATTTTTAATGCCTACTTTGCAAGATTACATTAAAAAATTTTATACTGACACAATATTCCTATTACGGAAAATTATTACTTCCCTCACCAATATTATAGCGACCGCTTAATTTTCTGGCTACGTTCTACATACCTTAATTACTGCGCCCGTCAAGCAAATTGATATTTACGTAGTGAAACACATTTAGTTCGCTAGCTAGACTACATACATACTTCTATTAAAAATTTAAATATTCACATACGTGGAAAAATAAAATTAATAATAATCGTGTGTAAACTTCTTTATAAGATGACTTGCTAGCAATAATTATTTCAAGACTGCGAATCTCATAATCTTATATGTAACTTTGGTTATTATTTAATTAAACAATTACTTCTATCGCCATGGCCCCGATCTAGGATTAGGATTTCTTGTGGCAATTAACAATTTCAATAGATAATTTTCTCTTTGTTACGGCTATATTCATGATCATCTTTAAGCATGTAAAGTATACTTGCTTTCACACACCATTCCGTTCGCGAAGAATTAAAAAAATAGCCTATGTGTTTTTCCAGACTTTGCTCTACATCTATTCCAAATTTTATCAAGATCCGTTCAATCCTTTAGGCTGCGAACTCTAGTAAACATCCATTTCAACTTTTACATTTATAATATCAGTTGTGTTAAACTTGAGGTTGCAGAGATAACTCTATTTTTTTAATTTAACAGTTCACACAGATTATTTACATGAAGAAAATCAGTTTGATGCGTCATGAATGTCTTATAATTTCTGATAAAAACTGGCTGGTTTTTACATATTTTTTCTTTTAATTAAGTAATTATTTAGTAATTAATACTGGCCATAAAAAATGTATAAAAAATGAGTTATTATTACTAACGTTGTACGTTTTCCACGCTCTACGGTCACCATTGAAGTAAGTTACCACCTGTTGTACAATGTTTATAAACATTGCGTGGAAATCTGAATCACGGAACAATGATAAAACTTATAAAATATTTCACGTAATAGGTTCGCTAATTGTCGATTATAACGGATTTATTAAAACACACGAAGTTAACAATAAAACATCTTTAAAAGTGGTAGAGCCCACTTTAACATCTTTGCACGAATGGGCCGGTTCGTCCGGTGAAATACCACGACCACACAGAAAACACGCGTGAAGTGGAAGCAACTTCGCGTTTCGTCTGATGAGTGTAGTGCCGGAGGTTTAATTTTAGTCCCTTTCCCTTCCCACCCTTTTCTTAAGAGGAAAGGATGGGAAGGAAAAGTGAACTTGACGGTGGAAGAGATGCACGGGAAGGGGAAATGTCCACTTTATGTGCGTCTCCTTCTCCGTCAATTTAGGGTAGACAACGCATCTGTAATTGCGGATGTTGATGGGCAGCGGTCGCTTTCCATTTTGGTGGATTCAGATGGCCGTTTGCTTGCTCGTTTTCCACCTTATATTAAAAAAAATCTTACTTCTTACTAATATTATAAATGGGAATTTAGATAGATAATGAAATAGTCACAGATGTAGAAAGAAAATGAGACCACATAGGCTACTTACATTAGCTTTTTTTAATTCTACGCAGACGAAGTTGCAGGTAAAATCTAGTAGTCGCTAAGATGGTAGTACATCAAGTTATTATAATATCAAGTATTGCAAAATTGCATATATTTCTTATTAAAAACAAAATCAAATGAAGTTATTGTGCTTACGATTAAAAATAATTTTAACAAAAACGTAGAATATTTCCTCAAATGTGACACTGATTAATTAAAACCATTATTTTATGGCCGTTTTTATCTCAACCATCGCTAATATTCGATGATTTTACAAACTTGTTTGAAGAGCAGGTGTAGGTTGAAAGTAAACATTATTTTTAATATTCTTATTAATATACAATACAAAATTTAATGTATTATGGGTTTGTTTTGTCAAAAAACTTGTATAAAAAAATGGAACCCACCTGCAAGCATTACCTTTCGGATAAAAAAAGAATTATCAAAATCGGTCCACTAGCGGAGTTATGCCGTAACACACATAAAAAAATAATAAAAAAAGGACATATCGACAAATTGAGTACCTCCTTCTTTTCGGAAGTCGGTCATAAAGATACTGCCACTCTAATTTTATTTGAAAAAAAAAATAGTTAAATGTTTTTGTACAACTGGTAGCGTTGCACATCTAAGTCAACAAGTTACACGTGCACTGCGTCAATGTAAATATCCACATGTACACAAACATACATTCCAAGTATTTATTTACAACCATGACTACTTCTGAGCAAGCTGTGACTATTGTAAGGTAATTTTTCAAAATCAAACTATAGTGTGTCTAAATAATTTAGATTA